CTACCAAGATTAGAGCATCAGGATTTCAAGCTATACAGATCCAAAAGAGAGAGCTCTTTGTTCTGACCAAGGCTACACCCTCCAACAGATGAGCTTAGAAGCCTTTGGCAAATTCTCCAGCTACTCCCTAAAAAAATTTCACCAGGCCAAAACTAAACATGAAGGCCAAATCTAGGACACTGCTTATTGTGCCTATTTCCTGCTGTGGTCCAGCCTATTTTGATCTCTTTAAAGAGAGAGAAAAATAACTCACCTGGGGTTTTTTTGAAAACAGCACAGCAGGATCTGCTGTTTGGAGATTGACTCTTCCTTGTGCAGGATGTAGGCGATACTGCGGACTCTCAGGCTCAAAGGGTCCCATGCTGGCAGCGAGGAAGCTGGGCTGGAGCATCCATGAACCGTTGTATCACACGCTCAATTGAAACAAAGGACTGATGATAGAGTCTTGTCTCCAGAAGTTTACTCCCTGCACTAGTAACCTCCGGAGCAAGAACGCCAACAATTGCACATCAAGTCGTTCAACAGAACAGAATACCTTTTTGCATCCAGAATGCATCTCCTGCCTGGATTCACATGCCTGAGGTGGGTCACTTTAGGAATCGCTCACAGCAAGAAAAGTGAATTTGTAGGTTCAATCCACCTGCAACGTTAAACACGATGCTGCATACCACAGCCTCGCTCCACCGCAATGGCCACAATGCCGAATTCGAGGCAGACGGAAGCACCACTTAGAGTTTCACGTCCTTCTCTTCTTCTGAGTTCTTGTGAGGAACAGAGCAAAGCACCAAGCTCCGAGAGCATGGCAGTGTGGAGTTTCTAAACACCCACTAACTCTCCCAGTCACAAAAAGCAGGAATACAAAGATTTTTCTTTGATGTCATGCTGAGGGAGTTTATTTCATACATGGCCACTCCTCTCAGCATCCCAGAGCAGTGCTGTTACAGTGAGTGGTGGCAGTCCCATCACTTGTGGACACTAGGACTGCATGCTGTCTTCATTTGAAGGGCACTGGGATTCCTGGTCCGTGTTCAAAAGCAAACAGAAGAGGAAGATGAGCATTCAGTTTAAGAAAAACCACGCACACACAAAAAAAGCAAGCCATGCAGGAAACTAAGTAATTACAATACAGCTTCAGCGCAGTTGCCTCAGAGAACGTACAGCTGCTGCTGGGGAAGCCACTGTACCTCAAACCAGTAACAGAAACTGCAGCTGCTGCAGGCCAGATCCTACGGGCACCGAAGTTGTTCAAGTAAAGAAAGCGCTCACTAACAGAAGCTGGGAATATTGCTTTCCACCTTCATCTTACAGCACACCTGACCACTGAACTCTAGTGATACCAAAGCTCCCACCCCCTAAACCCCGCAAACACTCTTCCAGCTGAAGACAAGCAGTGGGCCCGGAATGCTGATGTCCCAGAACTCAGCTGCTTGATCAGCAGAGCTGCACAGGAAGCTGGGGGGAGGCTGTTCATTCCTGTTTAATCCAGTCAAAGCTCTGAAAAACGCTTTCAAAGAAGGAAGTGGACACAGAACAAAATGTGAACATGGTCAGCTGGTTCACAAGGGACAGAAGTCACCTGATCCTCTCCAAACATAACACCATGCGGACAGTCTTCTCCATGGTTTAATATTTTGCTAGGGTTCTGTTTGCCCTGTGCTACAACTACTGTTATTATAGCTTTCTTGGCCTAGAAAGCTATTACAGCTTTCTGGACCCCACCTGGAGTGCTCCATCCAGCTGTGGACCCCTCAACATCAGAAGGATATAGACCGGTTGGAGTGAGTCCAGAGGAGGCCACGAAGATGCTCAGAGGGCTGGAGCACCTCTGCTATGGGGACAGGCTGAGAGAGTTGGGCTTGTTCAGCCTGGAGAAGAGGAGGCTCCGGGGACACCTTATTGCAGCCTTCCAGTACCTGAAGGGGCTACAAGGAAGCTGGGGGGACTTTTTACAAGGGCCTGTAGTGACAGGACAAGGGGTAATGGCTTTAAATTGAAAGTGGGGAGGTTTAGATTAGATATCAGGAAGAAATTCTTCATGAGAGGGTGGTGAGGCACTGGGACAGGTTGCCCAGAGAAGCTGTGGATGCCCCATCCCCGGAAGTGTTCAAGGCCAGGCTGGATGAGGCTTTGAGCAACCTGGTCTAGTGGAAGGTGTCCCTGCCCATGGCAGGGGGGTTGGAACTAGATGGTCTTTAAGGTCCCTTCCAACCCAAACCATTCCATGATTCTATGATAGTACTGAGGAGAGCATCACCACTGACATACAGCATTACTGATCAGGGCAACCACCGTCACTTTAGTGGGGAATGGTGGAAAGCCGTAACCTAGATCAGCCTTCCTGCCAAAACTAGGTCAAAGAATGGTAAGCAAGAGTTTGCAGAGTAAGTTCTTCCACTTCTTAGAAAGCAGTTCAGGTGCCTAGATGCAGGCAGCCTGCGCTGTTTGGAGCTGCCCAGGACATTTAAAACACTCACCAACCAGGGCTGAGAGGTTTGCTGTGGGTCCTGAGATACCCCCAGGCATCACAAATGACACCGAACACCCCAATCATTCAATTTTTAAAGCCCTGGATATCATGTCATCTGACCTATACATAGTAATTGCAGTGTTTCCAACACTCTAACCCCATATAGTTCCACAGAAAAATGCATTGCTGGGAAAGTCTGCCTGCTGCTATGCTTTTCCATACCCCCTTCCCTGCTCAGAAACAATGCTTACATACTAGCAATTCTGCACTCTTCAGGTGAGCCTGACCTCCCCAGCTCCCCCTGCAGAACCACCAGATAGTGTACTTGGTTCTAATATAATTAATTCCTGCATCTGAACATCACATTTCAAGTCATGCCTTGACAAGTTTATTTCTTAACAGGCTTTCATGTTTGACAACTTTTTAAAGTTGCTACACAAGAGTCTTTAGAAAGAAAAGCAGAAAAGCATAAAAGGATGTTTAAGCAAAGCTGTTCAAAACTACATGCTAGGTTTGAAATGATTAGGTTAACACCAAAATTGAAGTGAAGATCTGCACGTGTAAAGCTGGCCCAAAGTCCACATTTAAAAGAATTACAGCAAGCCAATCAACAGTTAAGGATGGAACGAACACCAGTATTGCTGAATTCACACTAAAAATGTTCACAAACCAGTTGAGACTCACAGAATCACTAAGGTTGGAAAAGACCTATAAGATCATCCAGTCCAACCATCAACCCAACACTACCGTACCCTCTAGACCACGTCCTCAAGCGCCACATCTACACATTCCTTGAACACCTCCAGGGATGGTGACTCCACCACTTCCCTGGGCAGCCTGTTCCAGTGCCTGACCACTCTTTCTTACACACACACCCCAGACAGCAAAGCAAACCTTCTTCAAAATTAGTATCTCCAGTAGTATTCTGAGAGAGATTTGAGCCCAGGAGGTACTGCTGGGATACAGGGCAGAGACAAACAGACAGTAACTAGAAGGTCTGTACCCTCGCTCTGCATCAGTCTTACTGATGGAAACATTCTGAATCTGCCAACAAGTCAGTCTCAATCACATAAACAACACAGAAGTGGATGGGTTTGGCCCTTTTTAGCTTGCCAAGGTTTTGATTCAATGCTGCAGCCATGCTAGAATAACACACAACTCCACACCAACTGAATTCCAAACGTGGTGGACAGATTCTCAAGATGTCAGGTGACTACAGCTGGAGACCCAGAGGTTTTTTTCACAGACTCCAGAGGGGGAACTTCTATTAAATTACAGCCCAGATGTACAGCAGCAAAGATCTATACAAATGCCAGAAATACAGATGTTCATACATCTCTAAGTATGAACAGAAATTTATTTGCACATGGGGCATTAAGATGACTGACTTAACTGGAGCCAAACTGCAGGAGCTGATGTCATTATCCTTCCACTGACATGAAATCCTTGGGAAATACCTACAGAGGGCAAGTGCTCATATGTATATGCTATGCAACTCTAGGGATACAAAGCTGAAAACAGTAATAGGAGTCCCTATACTACCACCTTACAAAACAAGGCCCAAGACTACAGAGGCAGGTAGAAGATCCTAATATTCAATTGCACAATCACTACAAAATACAGAAAAGTAGTTTTTACATTTTAAGGCCCAGCATAAAGGCTATGCTGCTGTACAGCTCCCCTCTGCCTCATCTCTAGGGTCATCAGGACCATTCCTGGCCAGGATTTCTATCCTTCAAAAAAAGACAGAAGCAAATATCAGATGATGTTAGTGGGGTTTTTTGGGGGAGGGGGGAGTTTGTGGGTGGTTTGGGGTTTGTGTTTTTTTTAAAGCAGGGTTTGTTTTTAAATAGGGATGAAAATCTGAACTCCCTATACCAAGCAGCCTAGAAGCTCACTTCCCTGTTCAGAAATGAAAGACACACAGAACTAAGTTTTATTGTACTTCTGCAGGAAAAGAAAACCACACAAAAAACCCCACCCTGACCCTTTGTCAGGAAAAGACAGCATTCTTGCCGCTGCAGCTCACAGTGGGAACAGAGTAAACTGGCACTCATCTGAGAAGTTGAAATATTTTAATTGTCTTCATATAAACTATTATTAACACACATTACACAAATATCTAGATATGAACAAAACTTTAAGGACCCCTGCTGTTCCTGCAAGGGTTAGCCTCTTTTCTCTTCCAGCCCACAAGAAAGCCAAACCAGAACCAAAACAGTAACTGAAGTTAATTAGTATTAGTTATTAATAAACAGCAATCCTCACATCTACATGGAGGAAAATCGTGAGAGGAGTTATGCCAAGCTCCATTTTAAGACCTTCACCAGAAAGTTTCTGAAGTGACACCAGGGCACGCTAGTGAAACTGCTTTACCTTACTCAGACAGGAAAGCTAAACCCTCACGTTAGAGCTGAGCTAACTTTCATGAACAGAAACACTCTTTGGCAAGGAAGTCCCGGTAGACTCATGATGATGATGCTGTTCACTATTACACAAGAGTGTAGTTGATTAATCATTTCCTGTACCACAATTTTCCATTCTTAAGACACTGCTGGATTAAGCTTCAGCAGTTGAAAATGACAAGGAACAAAGGCATTTTGCAAGTTCCCCTCTTTACGAAAGGAATGTACGAACTGTACCCTTTATTGTCCCCCTGCAAATAGGGCACTTTCTAAGGGACGGTGCACATTCTTTGCATACCACTAAGTGACCACACGGAATAAAAACTATAGAAACTTCTTTATCCATGCAAACTTTACATGTTCTTTCCTCTTGCAATCTTCTTAATTGTTCTTCCATAGGTAAACCTGGAAAAAAGTTAAATAGATATTTAGGAAGCCTGGATATATGTACATTCTGATCAGAATACAGCCCTGTTCTGTTTCATCCTTATTTCCCTATCTGTGTTCACTAAATATAGATGGCAGTGAGAAAGTAAGTACATTTTCCAGAGCTCAGAAAGCAGTATGCAAGGAACTGGTCTTTACTTTCCACTTCAGCGAGACAAACAGCTCAGGGACTGGAGGCCAACCGCAGTTCTAGAGGCGAACCAGTGTTTACATTTTGGCAGATGCTGTACTTCACATGCTTTGATATTAGAAGCACAGCGCACAGCCTGACTGGTGGAGTGAGCTATATTCAGGCTTGTATACTTGTCTGCAGTCTATTAACATATTAAACTACAGGACCAAGAACCAGAGCATATCCAACTCCCATGTCCAATGAGTTTTTATCTACCCAGCTGTTGGTCAAGCTAGATTTTAGGACACCTATAACCCCCTCTGGACAAGTAGTGATGATACCTGCTGCGAAGTTCTAACCTACTATTCATGTCCAGCCTTTGCCAAATGCCTGAATGAGAGCTTGTACCAGGATCAAGCCCAGCATGTGCTTGAATTGTTAGGCTCCATAAGGCTCTACCTCCTATGGTGCAAAAGCACGTGCAAAGAGCAGGATATAGTTTATAGCAGATAGACTTGCTTGCAAGTCTGCACATGCACTTAACTTTTACAGGTAAGTCCATCTTACCAGAGCAAAATTAGGTTTTATGCTTTACCCTCTCCCTATTTCTTAACCAAAAGTCGTTTGCTTTATGTTGTTAGCCATTTGTCCCACAGTACTCTTTAAAGTAAGAAGGTAAAGTTTAAGGTACCTGAAACATCTTCTGTGGGAACATACTTCATGTTCTTCTCCACTGAAATAGAAAAAAACCTAATCATTTGACTGTTCTATATTCAAACAGTATCTGATTCTTTATCTTCAGGTTACTATAACAGCACTGGTTAGAATTCCATAAACTTATATTCTTTAAAGACAGACATACCAAATAAATCTTTGTACAGTACAGGGTCACAATCTCGCAGGCAGTTTCTGAATATGCTGGCTGCTTCATTTCCTTTCACTAGAACCATATCTATCAGTTCTCTTGCTTGCAACGGTGTCTGCGTCTTTTGCTTAATAACATCATGCTCAAGTTCTGTTATCACTTTAGCTGATAGTAAACTCCCAAGGATGGGAAGTACGCATGTTAAACGCTGGAATAAAGCCATTCGATTCTTCCGGATTAAGGACAAATCATCTGGAACGCAAAGGGGATGTTTGTTAGGAATACACTACTCCAAGTTGCATTTCTGCTTACCAATAAATTGATACATTCTTTAACCTCTACTTGAAAGGTTCGCTTGCTACCCAAGCACTTGCAGTAAGTTTTAGTGGTATTCTCATACAGAGCAGACTTGGAAAGTTCTGAGCTGAAGCCTTTTCACCTCCTGCTCACATCTCTAGGGTAAATTATCTGAGGGGATCTTGGCTAACTTCACACTAGCAAGACGTAAGTTCTCTACAGAGTTTAAAAAAAAAAATCCCAAACTATCTCTGCCTAACACCAACACTAACTCACTGACAACCAACAGGTTCACTTCAGACCGTTGCAGTCAAGGTCATGTCCGAGATGTAAACTGAATCAAGCTTTTCTAAAGGGTGTCCAACAGAACTATGTGCAAGTAAAGCACAGACTAACAAAATAATCTCTCGAGTGTTGCTATCACAAACAGCAACAAAAAAATCATTTCCATAAAGATTTATTGGCTGAATCCATCTAAACTTTTTTGATAGAACATGCAAGTAGGAAAGAAGCAGTCAGAATTCAGTTTATAATTGAGAAGCTTCATTACTGTTTCAGAGAATCAGAAACAGAAGTACTGTTTTAGGCTTCAAAACAATAGGAAGTGTTAAAGACAAACACTTAAGCAGCTGACCTATGTGGTTGAGTCAGACACAGAGAAGCAGACCTTTGGCCATTTTATAGAATCTAAACTGGTAGAAGTTCACAGCCTCTTCTAAGAGGTGGATATGGTGGCTCACCAACTCAAGTAGCTTAAAGAGCAGGCAAATTATTAAAAAAAATTAGTAGAGTGTGTCAAGTATAGTATTTTGGTTCATTTTCTTAACAGCAATAAAAGGCTGTAAATTAAAAAAAAAGGCTCTATTCCTGATGAGAAAATATGGTGATTCTGAACCCTTAGGCACCTGTATGAACCATCCTCCTGAAAAGGAATGAGACAATTCCCAGACTGCTAGTTCCACACAGACACCCTGACAATGCTTTTACAAAAGCTGATCCAATAACAATTAAACTAAATCACTTTGCTAATAAAAGCAATTGTAAAACCTATACATAAGACACCACTTCTGCTTTCACTTTCACTTATGCCTTATGCATACCTGACGCCACTTCTTCAAACTGTCTTTCTTTCTCTTCCTCCCTCTTCTCATCCTCAGCAGTGAGCAGGTCGGAGACAAGATCATTAACAGTCTTGTAATTTTCTCCAGTCACCAAGATCTTACTCTGCACGGTTTGCTTTACCAGCCTTCTACTGAATCCCATCTCCAAGGCAGCTTTAACCACCGGCGTGTTCATCATGATCGCATCTTCTGAAGGACTCTCTCCAGGTTCAAAATGAATAACTAATCAATGGGAAAAAGCACCGTGTGTAACAGAAGAATAAAATACCTACACAACCCAGAAGTAGGACACATCAATGTTACCTACACACTTGCACAGACACATGAATACTGAGCATTAAAATGTTTCAGTGGTTAAACAGAGGGTTTTGGTTTTTTTGTTTGGTTGGTTTTTTTGAGTAACTTGTTTTTAAAATAGAAGCCAGTTACTTAGATTCAGTTGGACTGCATCCAGGATAAAACCCCAATTCATGTCAGGCCTCACTAAAATCTAGGATGGTCCAGAGAAACCACAGAGAATTCTATTGTGTCCTAGCAGTTATTTTATATACTTAGTCATTTCTAACTTCAGCCTTGAAAAATGTTGTGGGGGAGGGGAGAGCAGGGAAATCAAAGTTCAGAGTTTGTAGTACAAACAATTGCTCTGTTCCAGCTCTTGATCACTATTTTCCATTCACTTACTAAGCACCAGATATATGGGATTCTGACTCAGGGACTATGATAGCACAACTCACTCACCCTCTGGGAGCAGTTTATTTCCACCCTAACTACAGTCCAGTTCAGAAAGACTCCACGTTATCAGTTTCTCTACCCTCTCCTTGACCACTGCTGCTCAACTCCGAGCATCCACCTAGCTGTGTGTCTAAAACTGGAGCTGCATAACTGCATAGTCATGACACCCTCCGGCAACTGTTCCGCCAAATTCAACATCTTTGGTCAATTTAACAAAAACCAAATTGGTCTGTTTTGCTTAACCCAACCATGAAACTAAAAACCACAAAATACAGCAGATGCCAAGCATTCAAAACCAAAAATCTTATTATGAGCTGCTAGTATGAAAATAAAGAAAACTAAGGACAAGATCTCTTAAAGATGTTTCCTTGAAGTTTGTCCATGTATCAAAGCTACCTAACTTTGATCAGCCACCTTCATCGGGGCCCACCTTAAACGCCTCCATGCAAACGCACAGAGCATGGGGAATAAACAAGAGGAGCTGGAGGCATGTGCACAAGTGAGGGGCTGTGACCTCAGGGGCATCGTGGAAACGTGGTGGGATGGCTCCTATGACTGGAGTGTCAGAATGGAAGGATACAGGCTCTTCAGGAAGGACAGGCAGGAGAGACATGGAGGGGGGGGGGTGCGTTCTATGTCAGAGATCAGCTGGAGTGTGTGGAACTCCACCTGGGGATGGATGAGGAGCTGACCTAGAGCTTATGGGTCAGGATTAAAGGGAGGGCAGGGAGAGGGGACACAGTAGTAGGAGTTTGCTACAGGCCACCTGGCCAGGATGAGTGAGTGGATGAGGCCCTCTACAGAGAGATAGCAACAGCCTTGTATTCACAAACCCTGCTCCTCATGGGGTCTGTTGGAGTGACAACATGGTAGGGCACAAGCAAGCCAGG